AACTAAATGGAAGTTTTCACAGGCTGGATTAGCCATATACTTTAGAAAAAGGGAGAATATAAAGGAAACAATTTGCAGTGCAGATTATTCTTAGTGCAAGAACTCACTTTTTGGGTACAAATTCTTCAGATGATAAGTAGCATATTAACAGATCAAGAAGTTTGAATTTTTTAATCTGTTTTATATTTGTCCTTGCTGAATGAGATTATTAAAATCTCAGGGTTTTGTTCATTGGTGGTTTGTTTGGGTTTTTTTGTTGTTTCTTTGTTTGGTTGGGTTTTTTGTTTATTTTTGGCTTGTTTTGATATGTTTTTTAGTTTTTTTGAATTTTGAAACTCGGAAGATCATACCAGTGTAACTGTCCAGTTTCCTTCCCAAATCTCTGACTGATGGAAGAATATAGACAGCTGCACAAGTGTGGAAGTGCCCATTGAAGCTCGTGGAAGTTCTTGCACATAAATTTCTTAAACCAATGACTGTATGACAGATTTTATTGTGCTGCTAATGCAATATTTGCAGCCTCCATGACTCATACCATCATTCACTGAGATCTTTGAAGCTTCTGCATTGAAGTAGAGAGATCTTATCAACATAGCACTGGGCCTGGTGTTGATAAAGTGGGTACTGATGAAAATTAAATAACCACAGCAAAGGATGAGTCTGACTACTCAAGGCTACCTCTGTCAACTTGATATCAAGTGCAATGAAATGAACTCTCCTTTACCTAAAAAAAACTGGCAACAGAGCCCTGACTAGAAATGTTAAAACACGGCTAGAGGTCAGAGAATGAACATGACACAGTAAAACCTTGGCCAGGGAGAAGAGAATATAAGGAATGGGACTTGTTGGTTATAACTTGTTGTTGGTATTACAAGGTAATGCTCTCAAGAACTTAATAAACTACAATCATTGTCATCTACATCTGAAAAACCCTCTGAAATATGCAAAATAATTTATAGTTACAGAATACACTTCAAGAGAGCTGGTTAGGACAGTTCTAAAGGAAAACAGGACTGTTATGAAATCTACTTTGACCAACACATTAAATAAAAGATTAAGGGAGAAAAAGGAATTAGACTCCTTTTTTATTGAGAATTCAAAAGCATATTTGAAAGTAGAAATCAAAAGAAAACTAAAAATATCAAACTGGTGATGGTTTTTGTTGTTCAATGAAATTGAATGCTTCATGAAAGTTAATCCATGATTTTTTATATGAGAAGCTTAGAATGAGATGTCAGAGAGATGTAATTTCTATACATCTTCACACATGTATCTGTGCTTGAATAAAATACTCTAGTGCACAATACAGACATCATCTTCTGTAAGATCACCAGTCCATGACAGCAATTATGCAATGAGGTTTCCCCTTGAACTTCTTTCCTCTATTATATTTTCATTACTACATTCAGTGTAGGAGTTAGGCTGGACAATTTTCTTGCTGCCATGATGGATGATTATGACATGTTATGAATAAGAGGTGATTAAATATAACCTATGTGTTGTCCATCAATGCAGTTATTATGGAGGCTTTGATATGAATATATTTTTAATTTCTCAGTTCACGGATGAAAGGATCAGCCAACATTAATAGTGCTACATAAAGGGATAATTTAGTAAGATACCTGGTGCCCTAATCCTGATTCAGACAAACTTCCCATTAAAATATGTGGAAATGTCAGTGTGACTAAACCCTTTAGTTTGGTCTTAGAGTCAGGGACAATCTTGTCCTATTCAACATGATAAGAAGTTTAATTCAGAATATTTATTCATATTAAATTTTAATCTTCCGTTTAAGGAATATGTTGAATATACAGTGTACAGATAATTTTCTTCTTGTTAAGAAGCATAATTTCTTTGTTTCTCTGCATTTTTGTCACATACTTTATCAATAAAGAGAAAAAGTGGGTGAAGAAAGCACCCTAACCAACAGCAAACAGAAACTTAACTTGCCTCTGTGTCTGCTTGCCAGCTTATGCAATAAAATCTACTGAAAATCATCATTTATAAAAATTCTCAGAGAATGACTTAAAACATTTGTTGGTTGGGGTTTTTTTGTGTGTGAAATGATAAATTTTTTTCCACCTTTTTTTGCCTCTTGTGGTTTAGAAATAATAAGGAGTCAACTATACATTCCTGCTTTTTCTCATTACCATTCTACTTTTTTTTCCTTTTTGAGTAACCACAGGATATGGAACAAAAAGTTTAGTAATACAAATAAACTACAGAAAAAGTTTTATTAATTTTGTTTTCAAAGTTGATATTTTTATGATATTTTATTGTCTTCATTTTTGGTTTTATATTGTGCATTTAATACACTTTGACTACAGAAATTTCAGAAAGTGCTAAAATGCTGAGAAGACACAGGATTTATGGAAAATATATAGTAAAACACACATGATGTGGTCAGATCATAGAATTTCTTTCCATGGTAGACAATTCAGTTCAGACTGAACTTTAAAAGACTTTAAAAGAAAGAGGTTTTCTAGTTAGATGAGAAAAGGAAGAGAAAGGACACATGAAGGATATCTTCAGCTTCAGTGAGCTACGGGAGGGGAAGGAATAGTACAAGGATGATAGAAAAAATTCCTTTTAAGTAAATGAATGTATTGCAAGAGCTAATTTTATTCTGTGGACAAAATTTGGTGACAACATTATTCACACAGGGTTTCAGACAGCCTATGGCACCTCAGTGAGCCTGAAGGAGCCTGCAGGGGGACAGCAGAGCAGCCCTGGTGACCATCCTTCTTATCAGCTAACTCTGATCAGTCTTTCAATTCATGCAAATAACAGATGCACTCCTTTATTTTCTATTTTGGATTTAAGGAGGACATAAAAGTAAAAAAAATTAACATTAGAAGTAGCTGAACCCAGAGATACATGAATGGCTGGTTTATACATTGACATGAAATTTTATTCACATATTATTGAAGAAAATGCTGGAGAGAGAAAGCACTTTGTCATTAGCCTAAAGTGAACAGGTTTTTTGTTTGCCTAGGAATGGGGTATGTTTTCCACAATGCTCCTTGTCAGTTACAAATTTATTCCTACTTTGTATAATGCCTGTCTCTACTTTTTGCTTAATATTATTCATTTCACATAAAAAATAAATGCAGAAAAGTTGATTATAAAATAAAAATAATTTGATTGAACCATTTTATTTCCTTCAAAGAAACTGTTTTCAAGCTATTAAAGTAGCTTTATCATCACAGTACACCAATCAAATTACTCCTCAGTGCAGAACATTTCAGCCAATTTAAATATAAAACATTAATGAAGTCACATGTGAGGGGCCAAACAGGGATGCTAAACAAATCCGGAAATCACAAATAGTCTCTACTAAATCTCAATCAATTTTTGGTTAATGGTATATTAAGTAGGAGTAATTATTCAAGTTAGGGGTTTCTTTGTACAAATTACATGTAATAAGCTTAATGTAGATGTGACATAGTTCCTTAACTCTAGCCATTAAGGAAAGTAGATTTAACTCCATTAAGTAACTTCACTTAAATATGACAATAGATAACTGTGGTCATTAAACTAACGACATCTGTCATCAACGTTGATGTTACCACAATGCCATGCATGTGTCCAGAATAAAGACTCAGTCAGTATTTCTGTCATAAAGTGATCCAAGGGGTTGTAGCCTGGCTATTTTAAGGAATGGTGGAGAAAGAAAAATTTAGTCCACCCAAGAAAAAGGTTACTGAACAAGGTCTGCACCAGTAATGTCCATGGGCAAGTCTCTACAGTTTATCTGCATGTGGCAGAGCAGAATGAATTTTGATAATGTAGAACTGTGAAATGGCATTTAACACATATATGACTGCATCAATCTGTGCTTTAGAAAAACTGTCAGCACAGAACTCCTCAAAAAGCCTTATAGAGATGAAACCTGCACTGTTTAAATGCTCTCTCTTTGTTCTATTCTGAGTTCCTAGTCATCTTCAAAAAGAGGATTCCCAGTATGAAGCATTTTCTCCTCATACCTACAGACAAGCACAGATTAAGCACTTACACATTTCTAAACAGCAGCTAATAGCTTTTGGTGGAAATATGAGTAATGTCTAATAAGTCTGCAAACTGCAAGTAGCTCAGTTAGATATATCCTCAGGGTATATCCTGCTGTCTATACATTCAGATTTACAGAATAACCTGCTGTTCTGTAGCTGAAGTCATTAGCTCAGCACTGAAGAAGTGCTGAAGTTCTTAGTATAAGATTCATTCTCTACTGTTTGTGCACACTTCCAGTACATTCTTTTTACTACTTCCTCAGTGATTGTGTCTTATCTGGTAGGAAAAATATAAGTCATTGACTTTCCCTATTAGTCTGATAGAATTGGTTAGGGTACAGTGAAAATTACATTAAAGAACAGAGAAGATTAAATATGTTTTAAAGTCAGTAGAAATAATATCACTTGAAACCTATTCTGCAATACAGGATGGCATCTTCTGAATGAGGCTTGAGAGTAGAACACATCCTCTCTGGTCTCCCTGATGCCTTGTAGAGACCCCTTTTCCAGCACCTCTGTCTACCCCTAAGCTTTTTCTGGCATTGCAGCAGCTTTTCTCAGCATTTCTGGAGGAGATGGGACTGGTAACTCTGTGTGTGCAGGACAGAGCTGTTCTTGGGAAAGCAGCTTGCTTGCTTGCCTGCTCTTGTGCAAGAATTAGAAAAGACAGGGTTTTTTTGTTTTTGTTTTTGTTTTTTTTTTTTTTTCCTCTTGATATTTCAGCACTGGACTTAAGTTATCTGATTTTTAGTTTTGTTCCTTTGAATTATTAAACAAAGGAAAAGCACACACACTGTTAGGAACACCTCTGGGACACACCAGCTACGGCCTTCCCTTTTTGCATTTCCTTTTACCCTTGCTCAGGAATTCTAAAAAGGATTTTCTTCTCTCCCCATGACAGCTCACTCCAGAGAGTGCAGCCTTTCTTCTACAGGCAGGGCCAGTGAGAACAGCCAGGCTCAAAGTCATGAGCTAAATAAAGTATCAGTATTTTTCACCAAAGAAGGAAGAGGGGAAATTGATACAGCCTTTGGGGTACAGTAACTGCTGAACAGAACTCTATGAAGAGACTGCTTTGCTTGAGATCTCTGGGCAATTCCTGCTGTTTTCTGGTGAGCAAGGAGGTAATAATTTATAATGCAATAAGAAAGTACTGCATGTTCTTTAAGCTCCCTTGTAAACAGCAAGTGAGAAACTGCTGGAATAAAACTGATATTGTTAAGAACAAACAAACAAACAAGAAACCTAAAAGCATTACAAACTATTTTAAAAATCAATTATATGGAATAAAAATGAAAATCACAGAACAATTTATCTGTAAGAATAATTAAAGTGTTTTAAGAAAGAGAAAAAAATCACTATTTCAACGCTGTCAAAGCCCTGGGTTTGTTTATTTTTGTTTTTCTTTCTCAGCTGATAGGCAAAAGAGCTAAATGGAAATGGAAACTTAACAAAGTGTTTTCACTTTCAGTTTCTAATATATGATGTGGAGTAAGCAAAAGCAAGGAATGCTTTATTGATAAAAATCAATACAGGTATGAAAGTAAACATAAGCAAAACACATTCAAGCGGACAAGTGAATATAATTGTAGCTCTGGACTGCTGGAGAGGTTATTGATTTCTGCAGACAGGACCCTGTACTACACAGGGTACCACAAACAGCTTTTCAGATGATGATTTCTTTAAAGGTAAAATCAAATGTCAAAACTTCTGCTAATCTACCTCAGTCTGTGAAATCACATGCCATAAAATGAAGACCTAATTATAGTGTTTTCTATTGAAAGTTTGACAGCTAACATACAGTAGAGCTAAATATCAAAAAGAAAGTCTTTATTTTACAAGTAGAGATGAAAATTTAATGGGAGTTTGCATCCGAATTTACTGCTACTCTGGATAATGGAGCAGATGCCTTCAACACACCTCTATGTCAGTCAAATATGCCTGGAAACCTCATTGTGGAGTGTGCAGCCCATGAGCACTGCAGCCATATCAACAGGGCATAGCAAAAAAGAGTGCAGTACTATGGCATTGTTGGTTAAAGCTCTGCTAGATCCCAAAAACAACATCTTGGTGCTCTCTGAAACATGACTTAGGTGTTTTGCATTTGCAATCAGTAATTCTATTTTAGATATAATTGGACTCTTCAAGAGATCCAGGGGGTAGCTGGATAAAAAACCCTCTTCACATAGTTTTCTAGGTGTCAATTTTTGTGGAAGGTTTGAAAGAAGGGGATGAAAACTTGCTCTTCCACTTGGTGTCTCTCCTCTCAGAGGCCTTCAAAGCTGTCAAAATGATGAAGATAATATGAGATTCCACTGGGGCAGTGAGGTCTTTCTGCCACCAACTCCTTGCATGTAGGGCAATAAAAACATATCACATAAAAATATCCATAAACCCCTCAGGCTCATATCTGAAAAAAGCCCAGTAAATAAACAGCTCTCCTAGAGACTAAAAGGATGTTAGGATAACCTCAACTGTTCTATCTTTGGAGAAAAACACCAGGTGTGTTTTAGGTAGTTAGAGTTACATGGCATGTAGACATTTTGAGCTGTCTTTATTCTGCAGGTTTTCCAAGAACCTATCACTGTGTTCAAGAACCACATCCTTGAAACATTTTACACAGTTGACTTTACAAGGTGGACTATGTTGCCACACAATAAGTTTTTTTAATTTCTGATGAGAAATCTTATGGACAAGGTGAGGGAATTGTCAAAGTAACTAGTTTAAGTTAATTTACATGGGATTTTTTAATAAGGATACTGAATATGGGGTTTATAGATTATAAACCTTATGCAAAGAGAAATCAACCTTATTATATATAAAGACATACGGACTCAAAGGGGTTTTTTGCTATTATTAACTCTGGTTTGGGTCAGATGCCATTTACTCTTGGCTTTCCTAGAGAATATGTCAGTATAGGAATAAGAAGTATGAGTCAAGACAGAGGAGGCTTTACAAAGACAGCACACATAAAATCTGAGAAATCAGGAATGATATGAACAATAGGTGTAAAAGGGTACTGTTATTATGAGTAGGAAACTTCAGAAACATGTTTAAGGAGGTACATTGTAAATATTATTTTAAATGTTCTTGGATAAAAATATTGTCTTCTGTATTTTTAGAACTTTACAGAAGAAAAAGAAACAAACAGGGTTTTAAAAGCATATTGTATATCTGTTATTGATGGGAAGGTGGACAAATCACTGTAGGGTAAAACAAATGCCAGAAATATGAGATAAAGTATTCAGATAGGTGACAAATCCATGTTTCATTGTTGGTAAAACAGAGCTGGAATGCTGGGTGAGCAGGAAAGGTAGTCTTTTAAAAACTGATGGATTTAGCAAGTGACTGAATGTGAAAAACAGAGCTAGAATTTGCAAATAATTGTTGCCAGCTTGGATGACTGGAGGGAAAAAAAATCAGTTACCATGGGAGAATAACATGTAGAGGTAAAGAAGACTTATAAAGGAAAAGTGCTTTTGGAAACAAATTGTTTGGTGAATGGTATAAATATTTGGCTTTTGAGTCACATTAAAAAACTCCTTTCTAAAGAACCGAAAAAGTGCAATGGACTGACAGCTACAACTTACTACTTTTTCCTCTCATTTAAGATTAAAATGAAAATCTGTCAGATTAAAGATTTTTTTAATCTCTTCATAACAGAGACTGAAACTTTTCTAATCATATTCTCCAATAAAACAAAATCTATTTCAACAGATGTTTCAGAGGACAACAGATTATTAAGCAAATGCCAGGTCAAATAAAATTATGTGGAATGTCATATGAATGTGGGAAAATGTTACTTTTTTTCTTTTTAGTTCCATTTACATTTTCAGAAAACCATTTTTTTGTGCCGTTGTCTCAATCTTGAAGTAATTCTGAGGACCCTTTGCTAGCCCAAGGATTCTGTCCTCTGTGCTACTCTGCGAGAGTAGCAGAGTTTTATTTCTGCAAAGGATGGGGCAGCAGAGCTTCTGGGGGGCAGAGTGGTTTTAGGACACCAAAAAATGTCTGGGATGTAGGGTTGGAAGGACAGAGTATTCAGGATAAGTGATTCAAGGAGCCTGGATGTAAAAGGAACAAGAGAAAACAAGGCCTGTGAGAAGAAGGGACTTGGGCATTGTGTTCAGGCTTATGGGACGTTTGGGTCCCTCTGAGTCCCAACAGATCTCAAACTATTCTCTTCTTTCCAATTTCTTATGTTTTTCACCTGCTCGCTCTAGAATTCACTTCCCAGCTGCCCCATCACAGCAAAGTCAGCTTTTTCCCAGCAAAAGCCACACAGCTGCCAGCATTGCTCATGTCTAAGGCAGAGAAACCATGAGTGCGGCCAAAGTGACTTTTGAAAATACTTGAGTTCTTCAGAATGCATCTCTAGGGGGATTTCTTTTGCATTGAAAGATTTAGGATTAGGGTTTAAAATGAATCAATTAATGATTCATTTAAATTCTTTTCAATCATTCATCCACTTCAGCAGGTTTTACCAATTATCCAGGAAAGTAATGGTCCCTTACAGTTAAAGGTGAGTGTTATTTGTGATTTTCTCCCTAACCACATGGGTTTCCTCGATAATGACTGATTGCAGAAGGGAATAACATGAGAATCTCTGTGCAAATGCAGTTATGATTGTCTCCTGCCCTACTTTGCACTGAAGTAATTAAATATTAGCAAGATTGAAGCACTTCTAATGTAGTATAAAGACAAAATATTATTTTGTAACAACTTGAGTTGAAGTGTGCTAACTATTCACACATCTGAAAGGCATTTCAACTCACAAAATAAACAGTAAATACTATCCCTGTGGAAATTTAACGTTATTTACTTACACTACAAGAATTTGAAAATGCAAATTGTATATGGTGTGAAGTGCAGACGTCTCGTTCTGTCCTGTGCTTCTACACCTGATATGAAGGCAGACCCAGACTGTCTTGACAGAAAAGTGCCACATCACAGGTCATGTGTGGAAATGGTAACTGGGACAAGCAAACAATAAAAAGATAAATTCCAGTTTCCAACTCATTTTAAAATACATGTAAAATTGACTTGATTTTTTATCTGAAGCTACTAACAGTATTAAATCAACAATATATGGTATAAGTTAATAGTAAGAAGAACAACAGAAAGCTAAAACAAAATTTAATATTGCAGTCTTTCTGGCTGACACAAGCAGATTTTTCTCACTATGTTCTTATAATTCTGTTTCTACTTCTCTCTAGAACACAAAAATCAGGAAAGGCATAAAAACGTAATAAGCCTATTTCTTTGTTCCTGCCGCGTAAGCTGCGTAGGGTCTATCCAGCCTGACAGCCTCTGCTGCCAATATTTATTACCTTTTATTTAAGATTCTGAAATGACTTCCCAAATCAACATTGGATGAATTTTCTTCATTTTCTTCCCTTTCTGTGTAGAGATAAAATCTGTTAGCAAGAGATTTGTGGGCGGCCCACGAGTCACACCATTGGTTAAAGTGGAAAATCTAAGAATTTTTACTGTTCACATTATGTTTGAAAATGGTAAAACCCAACCAACCACAAACATTTAAATAACATATTTTTTGTTTCTAATTCCATTGAAGTCTGGGATTGCCTCTGAACACAGAACTCCCAATAAAAGAAAAGACCTGCCAGAAGAAAACTGGCATTTTTAAATACCAATTTCCGTTTTTTATTTTCTGCAGTGCACTTGAGCTGATTGAAATAGCACCACTGGTATGTGTACTTGGATGTTCTTAGACCTACAGTTTTGCTGGGCCTAAGCTCAGACTTGCCTTTATTTTATCCTAGATATTTGTGTTTAGATACTTGCTTTATATATCTGTTCAGTAAAAAATGCTTTTTCAAAGGATTACTCAGCATCTAAGTTCTCTCATTTCTGCATTTTATGGAGCTATTCAAGTCCAGCAAATGATTTTAAAAAAATGCCATTTGATGGTTTTTACTACAACAGTATTTATGATATTCCCATTTATTAAAAAGGGGGACCAAATTAGTTCCCAGGTGTAGTGGGGAAAATCTTATTAATATACAGGTGAGATACCTGAGCATTTTTGGACAAAATCTGCTTTGGTGATGAGTCAAAACCAGTAGTGTGTCTTTGTGTTGTTATTTTGACTACATGTATTTTA